TTTCTCAGCGAGGGAACACAATTTTGCAAAAGTTTTTAGTCCTTCACTTGACGATTCGAACGATGTACGACAATCGAGAAAAAGCGTTCAAGCAAACGATTTGATGGTTTTGACAGATCAAAGTGTCAGTGTGGCACGAGTCTAATTCAGCTTGCTGAAAGAGGCAATAACTGAAATCACGAAATCATACCATGATCCGCTATAGCGGCTCGCATTAAGATAATTTTTCCAGGCAAGTTTTGAAACCATGCTGTGATCGCCAATATCTCTTAGATTCGCACCGCGAATCTTAAAATGTCTCTCGGGATGCGATTCAAAATTTTGTTACTTTAGCAAGAGTTTTCCAAAGTCACGCCGAAGCTCGCGAATCATTTCGGGAGGTTTTGCTACTCATAAAAGCATTCTATATGTCTTAGCCCGACTCGCAATATGCGTATAAATTAAACAGAAGATAGAACTTAAAGTGAAGATTAATTCACAGATGGCTCTAAATTGGATCTTGTAAGTTTTTGCTTAAACTAACTGTTTAATTGCCCTCAATCATCCTATTCTCTTTGACATCTAGACGGGAAAAACGAAAAAACATGTGCGTATTGATCAGGGTTGGTAAGTCTTCCGATTTTGAGCTTCCTTTTCGAATGAATTTTGATTTTCTAATTTTTTTCGATTTCTAGAGCTATTTACTTTTTTCTGAACAGCACATATCCGTAAAAGAATTCAACTAATTAACATGATGTCATACTTGAAGCAGTTTTTCTTTTTCTTTTTCCATGTGTGTTACATATATGATATATCTGCGTTTATTTGAAAGATAAACGCACAAGTCATGGGTCAGTTCTGTGATATATATTGGGATAGTACAAAAAAAATCGATTCATTTCTTTTTTTATACACGAAGGCATAGTCTAGTTATTGATCTCTAGCTGTTAACTAATTTTGTTCAAAAATCATTGAAAGATAGTATACTTTATGGCATTATGATATCATCGACGACAGGGGACATTTCCGAGAATGGCTTTCCATTAGGTCAGTTGAGAACCTTTGCTCTTCCGATTTTTAACACGTTTTCTTTCCGACTTTTTCCGATTTTAACGGATTTTTTTCCGGGCTGTGGATTTTACGGTTGGCACCCCTGATATTGATACACATCTGCGCATGATTTCATCGTGTTCTCTTTCAACTTGCGTTTACGGAAGAAAGATATAGACACATCATTTCTTCTATTTATAACCCGGTGTGACGAGCTTTTCTACGTGCAATTTATCACTGCTTTTTCGTTTTTTCCTAGAAAATAATATAGTCAAGAGCGAATAATTAACATGCGATAAGTATACAGCAATTATCATGGGAATGTGAGTCGGCAGAGATAATTTCTTTACTTATAAAGTTAAACTACCACTCTTCAGGACTTAAAAGAAGTTAATAGTTTATCAACCTCAGAAAATGCACAAATATAAGGACTTTATCTGCATATAGGCTCTATTGAACACGCTGACTGTGCTAAAATCCCAAAGTAAAAATGCAAAAAGGTGAGAAATGCATGTAGAAGGCTGATGTCACAATTGGGAATATTCTCGGTGTAAGCTCGCTTTGTCATTGGTGGCTTTCAGGATGTGGCGCCGATTAGTTAGGTCCTGTTTGGCGCACAGAGGATTGGGGTTCACCCATTCCGCCTCATCCACAGGATGCTAGAATGGCTTTAGTAACGAATTGATCTTACAAGGAAATCTCCCGAGATGCCTCCTTCCGATTCCAATGACTTGTACATGAATCGATAGACCTCAGTGAAGTAGTAAATACCCTAAAAGGATTCGGCCCCCTCTCTTGAAGATCCAGATTTTTGGGAAACCAGTTTTTATATAAAATAACCAAACCCTTTCTTAATGAGACATAACTGTAGCCCGTAAAGTTCTGATTAAAATGAGACCTCTCCCAGCTCTATACGACTTTCTTTGCCAAGTTATAGATACAAGAAAAGCCCTAAATGTTCATTGTCAGCTCTAAGCTACAGAAATAAGAAGAAATAAATTTAGGGCTTTTTCTTGTATATTCTATAATTTTACAAAGAAAGCTCGTGTAGAGCTGGGAGACGTCTCATTTTAATCAGCAATTTGCGGGCTACAATCATGGCTCATTAAGAAAGGTTTTGGTTATCTTTTAGAGTTTCTGAAAACTGGTTTTCTAGAGAACCGGGTCTTCAAGAGTCACGGGCCCGAATTCTTTTAGGGTATTTACTACCTCACTGAGGTCTATCCATCCATGGAGAAGTCATTGGAATCAGAAGGGGTCATCTCGGGAGGTTCCCTCGTTAGCGATAATATCCACGGGTATACATTTTCTGAAAGTTTGTGTAAATGTTTCTTTTACATATCGCAAACGTAACCTTTTCGGTAAAACTGACAGACGAACCAGAAGACATCAGCCTTATACTCGCTTTTATTTTGAGGTAAACTATGTCGAACTAGAATTGAGAAAAAAACGTATAGAAAGCTTAGACTGAATATTTTAAGAACTCAAAGTTAAAGGTAGCTCAGAGGAAAGAAAAACTCAAATTCCTGTGTGCTGCTTTCCATGCATGATATTCTCGAAGAAAAGTTCGAGTAACACATAATGCATCAGTTAAAAATTGGATACTACACCGAGTTACACTTCTCAGCCCCCTTGCTTTATTTCGGAACTCAAAAAATAAAAGTTTTTCGCAAGCCACGCGAAGTCGTGACTCGACAATAGCAAATGGACCACGATCGCGCGATGACAATCGAAGATGTTATATGGTTACTCTTAGAGCGCGACAAAACCGGGACCACAAAAAATTGTGTCTTGTTTCGCGGGTCTTACAAAGAATGCGTTACACGATCCCGCCGCGAACTTTTTTAGCGACACACGTCGCGAATGGGCGTAAGACAGTTGACTTGGACATTGTTTTTTTCCCGTAATTACATCATTTGAGACATTTTCTGTTGAAAGAAAATAGTTTTTTTACTTGAGTTATTTTAAAACTGATTCTTACGATGATTTGATCAATAGTTTACATAATATTTACTGCTGATTTTATTCTCTGTATCATTCAGATATGATATGATATGATTACTTTAGATAGACGACGAGAGCGTTGAGTCCGTGAATCATAAACGTGAGCCGAGTGATCAAGAGTTACGCAAAAAAGCATTGAAAACCAAACGAGAACCCGGTCATCGGTAAGAAATCTTTTTCTTCTCGTCTACACACTATAAATGAATCTGTTATTTTGATTATTCTTTAAGTATATTTGTAAATAGAAGTTTACAACTGGATAATGTTAAGTTTTATGGATTTGATATGGATTATACTCTAGCAGGTACATCGTTTATTCTTAATAGTTCTTGCTGTTATTAAGATTTTTTGTTTTTTAGTTTACAAATCACCCGCATTTGAAGAGTTAACATTTCAATTAGTTTTGGATTCATTAATTGATTTAGGTTATCCAACCGATATAAAAGCATTTGTTTATGATCGAACCTTTCCGTTGAGGTGTATAGAAGATAGTGATGATGATTTAAACGTTGAACTCTTGTGTGCATGTTTTTTTTTATAGAGGTTTATGGTTCGATAAGTTATATGGAAATTTTCTGAAAGTTGATGCTTATGGAAATATACTTGTTTGTGTTCATGGATTTAAGTTTTTAACTGGAAATGAAGTTCGTCAATATTATCCAAATAAATATGTCACTGGAGATGATCGAATTTATGTTTTTTATACATTGTTTAATTTACCTGGTGAGTAGTAAAGTTATATTAATTATGGTTAGATTATTATTAATATATTTTTTTCTTCTAATTTTAGAGATCTATCTTATTGCGTGTCTTATTGATTATTTTTCGAGTGTTTCAGAATATGTCGAGTAGAACTTTGAAAGAGAAATAATAATAAGATTTGTATTGAATTAAATTTTTTTGTTTTCAGAAATAATACTGCTGTGAAATTTGGCGATAATATTTTATCCTTTCGTGCTATATTTAATGATGTTCGAACTTCCATTGATCGTTTACATCATCAGGTTATTAAAGTTTTTCCACAATTGCTAAATGAAACGTTTTTTCTCTTTTGATTAGGGTAAATTAAAAGAACTAGTAACAAGTGATGTAGAGAAATATGTCCATAAGGATGAACTATTGCCTATCTTACTTGATCGGTAAGATCACATTGTCGATAAGCTGGTTGAAACTGCTGATTTTTCCTTTTCTTTTTCTTCAGAATTCGTTCACATGGTGCAAAAACTTTCTTATTAACAAATTCTGAATATTGGTATACGGATGTAGGAAGATATTCATCGAGTATACTATGTAATACATAATGTTTATTTCTATTTTCTATTTTAGCGTTTAATGGCGTACTTACTAGCAAATGGAGGAGAGGGAAAGGTAAGAGTTTGTTGACTGAAACAAACTCTCTTTGTAATCGTAGATCGATTCAAATTTCATACATTTAGAAAGCCAAACGTGATTGGAAAAGTTATTTTGATTTTATCTTAGTTGACGCACAAAAGCCATTATTCTTCGCTGAAGGAACTACGTTAAGATTAGTCGATCCGGCTACCGGTAACATGAAATTGGGAACTTATTCCGGACCATTGCAACAGAATCAAGTGTATAGCGGCGGTCAGTTTAGAGCCTTTACTTGTGCATAGATATATTCTGGATTTTTATTTAGGTTCATGTGAAGTATTTTCAAAATTAATTGGTTCAACGGGAAAAGATGTTTTATACGTTGGTGATCATATTTTCGGTGATATAATTAAAAGTAAAAAGCAAAAAGCTTGGAGAACGTTTCTTATTATTCCCGAATTGAATCATGAATTGAAAGTGTTTCACGATAAACGTGAAATATTTAATACATTGGAAGAACTGGATAATTCAATTAGCGAATTATTACGGTAAAATTGGTCTTTCAACTTAGACATTTTTGCTCTAAGCGATGTCAAACTACCTTAATCTTTTAGTAATTTTGATATGACAGCAAATCAAGGACCAGATGTATCAAAAATTAAGCATAAAATACAAGTATGTTTTTATGTTCAAGGTTTTAAGATTGGAAATATATCATTTACCGATATCTATTTGTAGCATTTCACGCATGAGCTAGACATGAATTTTGGACTATTAGGCTCGTTGTTTCGTACTGGTAAATAAAAAAGGCTTTTTGTTATTGTAACTAAAGTCGAAACTGCATTATGTTTTCTCTTTCAGGCTCAAGACAAACGCATTTTGCCAGTCAAGTGACTCGATTTGCTGATATTTATGGTGGAACCGTTGTTAATCTAGTTTACTATCCATTCTTTTATTTTTTTCGTGCAGTGTCCCAATTGGTGAGTAGAATTTCTGTCCGTTTGTAATGTGCAAAAGATGCCTTTGGGGCTTATTTCTCCTTAGCGTTGCGGTGGTACTATAAACAATTTCGTATTATTCTTTGTCTACTGCAAATTTTTGTTGACGTAGGTATCTAATAGCTGATGATAGATCAGACACTGATACCAGCATAGATGTGCGCAGAAAGTGGTTCAATCGTAATCTCTTTTTTTTGACACTTTTCTGCTGTTTTTATCTTTACAGAACAAAATACTAACACGAAATCAAGCTGATGGATCGCAAGATATGGAAAGTTGTCACATGAATTTTGAGAAAAATTAGATTTATATGGTCGAGATAGTTAGAACTAATACATCGTTGATCATCTTTTGCTGTGAGATTTTCAGAAACGAGAATCTATATTTCCTCTTAGAATGAAATTTGCGTCCAATATTTCCACAAAAAATTGATGCGCGAACAAGGGGATTCTACATTATCCACGGAAAGTTTTTTCTAAGTAGGTTAGTGTTTATTTTTTGCCAGAAAGACTTTTCTGGTCCCATTGTCTTTTGTAAAGTCGATTCGGATCGGTTTGTTACTGGATGGGGTAGGATTACATTTTCTTAACTAGAGCTGGCTTCTGCAGTAGTGAATCATTTTTACTGGTTTGCTTATTATTACTAACACACTAGAGAGAAAACACGAAAATTTGACTGTATGTAGATGTTTCTGATAGCAGCGTATGATGTAGACCTGACATCTCATTTAGTGTGGGCTGGACATGCATCCGTTTCCCTTAACCGAAACCGATCAAAACCGATTTTTCTACACCATGTCAAAAGCAAAATTAGACCGTCTAGGATGTAGAGGAATCAATTCTCTGCAAAACAAAGCGAGTCCCAGTTCTTCAGTACCTTTTGTTTCGAAGATAGAAGTCTTCAAGTTTTTAGCTTTCTTCTTTTAAAACGATCTTTTTCACGATGTCTCCAAGTCACTCTGCACTGTCCAGGGACCGTTTTTCTTTAAATTAACATGTTCCAAACGTTTTTACGATCTTTCCTACAAAATTCACTTCTTAAAGAGAATGCCTTGAAGAGAGGAAAACACGTCCATTTTGACGGAGATCCTTATCCTCTACCTTCTATACGGTCTAATTTCCTTTAAAAAAGAAGTGTAGAAAATTTCCGATTTTTTACGTCTCCGACTGGTTTCTTTTCTGATCGGTTTCAGTTTTTTCAGTTAAAACCGAAACTGCTGCATGCCTCGTGTAGGCTGATTCATCGTTCTCTACCGCAATCTGATTTCACAGTGGATCAGATGATTCGGATTATCGTGTATTTTGTCGACTTTTAGACTCTAAATAAGATTTCCAGTATAAGACTTCAATGATAAGATTTAGTGCGTGACAACGACTGAAAGGGAGAAAGTTTCACTTTTGATCTTCAAAATAGGCTTCACTCAGGTCAAATACGAGCGATCGGATCTAGAGATGGGCCGTAATACGTAAGCCTCGAAAGAAAGGAACGAACGATTATTCGTTATTCACTATACCAAACTATGTTTCATTTATAACGAGTAAAGAATATTCGAATAATGAGTATACGAATA